AGGTCACATTCACATTAAGCAGCAAGTATGAAACCAAGGCTCAACTCTGACATGCATGCCCTTAGCCATATGCAGTGTTGCCTCATGACCAGGCCCTGTGGTCAAACAAGGATGCAGATATTTAAGAGACAACGGACTTTGAATATTTGAAATCAGAAGGGAGGTGCCGTGTTTGTGTTCACATGTTTATACCCAGCGCCTAGCACCGAGATCAGAATATAATTGCTGCTCAGTAAATATTTATTCAAGGCATGAATGGTTGCCATTTATGAGACTCTGTTTATAATTTTGTGTTCCAGTAGCAAGGGATGGGAACGCAGTATTTCCACTTAAGAGAGGCATTTTCAGAGCATTTGGGAGTTAATGGGAATAAGAATATGGAGACAGGCAGGGAGCGCTAAAATTGCCCAAGGGGAGTGATTGCAGCAAGACAGGTGTTGCCAAATCATAAGCCCAGAGAACACCAACCAACTGACCCATGCCTGCATGGCAAACAGCCCACCCAGTCCACCATAGAACCAAGCCTCCCATCGTGGAAGTGGTGACAAATTCCAGGAACACACAAGGAAAGGCCCTGGGGGCTGAGGAGGGGAGGAGAGGGCTGGGGTCTCTGGCCTTAATACTAAACTGACCCCGAGGTTTCTAGAGGATCGTGTGGAGAAATGTGAATGTGCATGGCGTTCAGTGTTTGTCTTGAACTTATCTTCTCAGGGTCTTGTGATACAAAAGACAGCATCTGGTTTCTTATTGGACAGAAGTTACCTAATTGTCCCTGAACAGCAGATGCCAGCAGGAGTCTCCCCATGACAGAGACCCACCCCCTCTGCTCCCTCACGTTTGGGGAAAGTAACATATTCCAGGGATGCACGTTTCCCAGCTAACAGATCCCCAGTTCTTTCATCCATCAAACCTTGAATTAAAATCCTTCTAGAATGCATCCTGTAAACTGGAGCTACTGAACACCATTTAGCCTATTACTGGAGACCTTGGGCAGATTATGTCTGTCCACTGCCATGGGGTGGAGGTAGCATTGGAATAATGTTCTGTCTTCACCTTGGCTAGGCCTCCGCCCTGGGCTCCCAGCTCTGCTGTCCTGCCCCAACTTCTCCTGCAGTTCCGCTGTCTATACAGCAGTCTGTCCCAAGTTGACAAAGGTCCACGTCCAAGGATGTTTGCTGCCGCAGCATTGTTGGGAATAGTGCACGTGTAGGAAATGGTTATATAAACTGTGGTCTGTTCGCACTTGCGTCCTGTAGTCTCAGCACCCCTAACCCCAGCGCTGCTGGGATCCAGAGCCCCTCTGCTGCCCCGCCCCCTCACTCTGCAGCCGCGGGGCCCTTTTGGTTCTTCCTGTCCCCAAGCTCTTCCTTCAGGTTCCCCCTCAGGTGCCTGATGACTTCCCGATCTGTTTCTCACTGTCGCCTGTTTGTTTCTGCTTCTCGCTTGGTCTGTGGATTGCATCTCTCCTCCCCAGGACTTTGTAGCTCAAGGAACCAGGATGCTTTTTCACTCTGTGCTCAGCATGGTGATGGCACTCTGTTAAACAAACTTGCGACTGCATGGAGGAGTGAATCCCAACTTGTGTCAAATGAAGGGAGATGTATTTACTAAAATGTGTAGAAAATACAGCACGTTGATGGAGAAACTCTGTGAGTTTGCCAGCAGTCCAGATTCAAAGTGTCGGCTCCTGATGTTGCTAGGATATCACTCTGCATGTTGCTCTGCTTCTAGAAACTCGAATGAAGAAGTATGAGCTGGGGGCACCCCTCTCCACCCCCAAAAGAGTTAAGCCTGTTAGAGAAGTGAAGCTTTGGGTTTTGGGCCAAGAGGTTATGAAACATTTGGCCTGATGTCTGCCCTTGTGTTTAACATAAATGAAATTGCTGTGAAGCTCTCCTCGCTCGGAGCAGAACTGTGGCAGAAACTCATTGTCCCCGATGGGGGGGCAGGTCAGGGAGGCCACTGAAGTCTGGCTCTAGGAGGAGGGAAATGGAGATCTAAACAGAAGGAAAATTCTAGGCTCCTGCTAGGCAGATTCTGGCTTACTGGATCAGTTTGACGGGAAGATGGATTGTTGCAAATTCAACAGTGGAAAGTGACCCAGCAAATTCAGGGCTCTGAAAGGCAAATAGGTGCCAGGGCATGGTCTTCCCAGGGTTCTAGTCTAGGATCCGAGGGACAGTGTGGGCCCTGCCCAGGGAGGAGGGAGTGAGGGCTAGGAGAGCAGCTGACTGGCCCACCTCTGCTTTCTACTTCCTGATCTTTGCAAAATAACAATGAAAACTTTTTCAGGACAAACTGATTTTAGTATGCTGTGGTACAGGGAGTAACCCTAAAATCCTAAACATCTTTAACCTGAGGGCGTGCAGGATCTGGAGTGACTGCTGTGGTGAGAGCCACTGTGTGCGGCTCCTGGCTTCAAGGCTTTACACCCCTTGTCACATTTAATCCTCACATCTGCCCCACACACATTCTCTCCGGGGACCTATGAAGCACTGAGGAAGTGAAGGGACTAGCCCAAGGTCACAGCCTGTGAGGGGTAGAAGCAAGATTCCAGATTCTTTGTGGCTTAGAGGTGGGTGCATTTTACGCCACTGAGAATACAACCTCAAAATCAAATCCGCGGTTGGCCAGTACGTAAACCATGAAGACGGAGATTAGGAAACAAGAGTTCTGACCTCCTTGAAGGCAGACCTGGGCTCTGACTGAAGGAAGCTGATTCCAAGGGAGGCACGTGTGTAGGGCATGGCCGGCCGTGGCCATATCCAGCTTGAACTCAGGGCCACCCACATCCCTTGCCTCCACTGGAAACTACCCATTGCCTGCTTCTTGGCAATAAAGACCTCAAATTCCCTCCAGATTAATGATCAATCACCTAATGCAAAACCACACAAACATACTTCCAAAGCCTCCGGCTGCTGTTTACCTACGTGCTCCTGCCAGATGCCAAGAGCCCTTACTTAGGTGCACAGCTGCAGATTCCGCCCTGATGGCGGGGCAGGGATTGTGCAAAGGACCAAATCTGAGCCCGGGAAAGCGACCCCTGGCAGACCCTTTCCTAACCGCTCCTTCCTGCTTCCAGTCCCACCGGCACCAGCGATGCACGCTTACTCCACACGAAGCTCGGTGCATACGCTTGAAACCCTCACGTGCCTTGTGATGAGGGCCACCCTGCAGATGAGGAAGCGAAAGCAGGGGGAGCTGAAATGCCTTGCCCCTTGTGACACAGCAGAGGGCCCGATTCATCCGGTGCTCGTCCTGACCCTGCCCTTGACTGGACCAGGCCTCCCCGGACCCTGGAACGAGCCAAACTCCACGCTTTGCCTGGTGGCCTGGTGGTGTTTGTGATCCTGGACTGTGGCCCTGAGTAACTGTAGATGACTCCTCAGGGTCTTAAGGCAGAGCCAGGCCATTCTCGGATGTCGGGGACAAGGAGAACCCCTGAGGAAGGAAGGCAGAGTGGCCTGGGACTGATGGTCACCCTGACTGTGATGTTTGCTCAGTCCTGGTAAAGTGACAACCCCCCCGTCCCCCAGCTTCCCCAGCCTGGGTGGGGGGGGACAGCTTGCTGGGAGATCTCTTCCCTGTTCTCCCTTGAGGTCATCGCCCGGCTCTTAGAAGCAGAGAGTAAATTTTGGCACTTAATCAAGCAGCTTTGGGTAAGGATCCTTTCTCTGAGTGAATGAAGAGGCTTCCATCTCCCTGCCACTGATTTCATTAAACCAGCATAGGGTCTTTCTTGACTTGGTTGCTGTTAGAACGGCAAAACAGCACTTGCTGCCAGGCGCTGATCTAAGAGCGTCACAGGACCCACCCTCCCATCTTCTAGCAAGTCCTTCTTGGCTCCCCAGTAACTCTGGCCACTTATGTTTTTTCTCAAATGCACCAGACATCTTCCGACTCCAGGGCCTTTGCACTTGCAGTTCCTACTGCCTGGACTGCTTTTTCTCCCATTCTTCCTGTGGCCGGCTCCTATTCATCAGTCAGGGCTCAAGTGAAATATCTGCTCCTCAGAGAGACCCTCCTGCCCCTCCCAGCTGGAGTTCCCTATCTTCCCCCACTTCAGTAGTACTCTCTCTGGATCCTGATTTTGCCCCTTGTACCTGCCAGTGCAGTCTGAGGTTGCCTTGTGTATTTGATTGCTTCCCTACTGTCTGTGCCCACGGGAACACCAGCTCTACGAGACAGAAGTCCTTACTGGGTTGGGCTTCTACTGTGTCCTCAGCCTCAGGATGGGGTCTGGCATTCACTAAATATTCACTGAATGACAGCCCTGTGCAGTAGTGTGGGAGAGGAAAGGTGGCTGCAAATTCGTTGCTTCTCCCCTCAAGGTGTGAAGGCTCCTTCCTTTCCCTGAGATCTGGACGGGGCCTGTGACTCACATTGACCAGTGGAGTCTGGTGGCAGAAATGAGGCCTTGTGACTTCCCAAGCTGGATCTCAGGAAGCCTTTCAGCTTCTGCCCGGGTCTCTTGGAACAGGGCCTGGGGAGGCCAGCTGTCATGTGAGAAAGCTGACTAGCTCATGTCTGCCACGGAGTCAGGAGGCCTCAAGCAGACGCGCGGTGCCAGGCGCAGGTGCAGAGCCGTCCTGTGCACCCAGCCCCAGGTACCCTTGCTCGGCCAGCCCCTGCGGGAGCCCAGGTGAACCCACTAGCGGAGTCCAGTCAGGGGGCATGACTGTGAGATGGTAACAAATCATGTAAGCTGCTTGAGTTTTGAGATGTGACACAACAATGGAGACAGATAACTGATAGGGTAGGAGTGCATTCCCTTCCTTTCTCACATCAGGGAAACCAAGGTCAAGAACTTACCTGAAGTCATTTGGCAGAGTGGGCGTTCCAACTTGATGGTCCCCAAGGCTGGGCTTTAAACCTCCCATCACATCACTCTGAGGCTAATTCATGTTTGTTCTGATTTTTTTTGTTTGTTTTTTTAAATCACTGGTTGTCACTGTTGGGTTGAGAGCCGGTTCTGAGAACCTTCTTCCTTTTCACTGTAGATCTTCATAAACAATGAGTGGCATGACGCTGTCAGCAAGAAGACATTCCCCACCGTCAATCCATCCACTGGAGAAGTCATCTGTCAGGTAGCTGAAGGAGACAAGGTGAGAATGGGTGACTTACCCTCAGGGCAGGGGTGGGCAAGGATGGCTTATTTTTATTTTAGAGAGCAAGCAAACAGAGTGGAGGGGCAGAGGCGGAGGGAGAGAGAGAGAGAAAGAGAGAAAGAGAGAGAGTGAAAGAGAGAAAGAGAGAGACTGAGACTCAAGCAGGATGGCTCAGTTGGTTAAGCCTCTGACTCTTGGTTTTGGCTCAAGTCATGATCTCACAGTTCTTGAGTTCGAGCCCTGCACTGGGCTCTGCACCGACAGCACAGAGCCTGCTTGGGATTCTCTGTCTTCCTCCCTCTCTCTGCTTCTCTCCTGCTCTCTCTCCCTCTGTCTAAGATAAAAAAAAAAAAAAAAAATTAAAAAAAATGAAGACACAAAGTTAAAATATTCATATACCCTCTTAAAAAATAAAAAAAAGAAAATACAGAAACGGAAACTCTGAGGATCCTTATCTCCTCTATGACTCCTGGAAAGGAGAGTCTGAAGCTTGTCAGGCAGAGCCCTGCATGGTGGGGAAGGATTGTTTGGGGCACCTTTCCACACAGCTATTGACTGGAGCCCCGCGGGGGGTGTTTAGCAGCAGGGCAGGTGGTAATTGGAGGCAGTTATTGCTGAGAAGGCCTGAGCTGCCTTGCTGGGTGTTTTCCAGGAAGACGTGGACAGGGCAGTGAAGGCTGCGCGGGCCGCCTTCCAGCTGGGCTCACCCTGGCGCCGCATGGATGCGTCCGACAGGGGCCGCCTGCTGAACCGCCTGGCCGATCTGATTGAGCGGGACCGGACCTACCTGGCAGTGAGTTCTCAGCCCCCTCCTCTCTCATCCCATGTGATGAATGGGCTCCCCATGGACGGCCAGGAAGGGGGCTGCATTGCTGACATGTAACTGGTCAGAATGGCATAGGCCGGACACCTTTGGGATACACCCCTGTACCACCCCTGTACCAACCAGCCTCTCCGTGTCTCCTACGATGGCTGAAAAGGAGGAGACTGGGGGAGGGAGAGGGGAGCCTTCCCAAAGACCCCCAGGGATGGACACTGCTCTTACAGCCCCTCTGTATGGTGGGCCTTCTTTCTGGCTGCCAGAAACAGAAGAAACCAGGAGGCAATACCCTCGCCGCTCCCCAGTCCAATCGGCAAAGAGCAGCCAGAGTGAACCTTCCAGAAGGCAAATTATACCATGGTCTTAAGCCTTCAATGGAATCCTCTGTATCCTTAGGATAAAGTCCTGTTCTCTCACATGGTCCACAAGGCTCTGCCAGGTCTGACTCCATCTCCCAACTCATGCCAGACTGTGGCCCTCACACACACAGCTCAGCTCACCAGCCTTCTCTCAGCTTCCTGACTGCCAGGCTTCTTTGAGGCATCAAAGAAGGCCTCTGCATGTGCTATTTCCTCTGCTTGGGGTGCTCTTCCCTTCGTCATCAGTTGTACCTTTCCCTTTGCCTAGTTACCGCCTACGTATCCTTCTGGTTTCACCCTAAAGGGTGCTTCTCAGACTGGGCTGGGCAGCCTGGCTTCCCCTATCTAGCACTCTTAAGTCTTGTGATGGATGATTCGCGTCATTATTCACTGGTGCTTTGCTCTCTCAGTTCCCATGTTTGTCTCTTAGTCCCAGCATAGGTTCAGATGTGGCTTACAGCAGAGCCTGGAAACCTGTGCTTGTGAGAAGTTGGTGCCCCACCCCTCACTTTCCTGCCTTTGGAGAGGGAGAGGCGATGGGCCAGAAATGCCACAGCATTCCATGGCACAAAGTGGCCATCGGCCCTGATCCATGCTGAGCTCCCCCGACTGTTGAGTGCTCTGATGCAATCCTGTGGCTGCAGGTCTGTGCTGATCGTTCTCTCTTCTTAGGCCTTGGAGACGCTGGATAATGGCAAGCCCTACGTCATCTCCTACCTGGTGGATATGGACATGGTCCTCAAATGCCTCCGGTATGGGCTCAGGCTTCCTGTTCATTCCAGCTTTGCCACAGGGCAGCAAGTGTTGTGGGGGCCAGAAATAGAATAACGTATAAAAGGATCACAGGAGTTAGAGAAACATGTTCTATGAGACTCTGTTTATGAGAAAATCCCTTGATTTCAAAATTTAATTTACTCCTAAGCATGTTCTCTTCCTTCTTGAGGCAGTTTTGGTAATTTGTACATTAGTTGGAATTTGCCTGTTTTATGTAGGTTATCTCGTTTGTTGGTCACAGTTGTTCACATATTCTCTTACAGCCCTTTTGTGTCGGTAAGGTCGGTGGTGATGTCCCTGCTTTCATTTATGATTTCAGCTGTTTGTGTCTTCTTTTTTCTTAGTCTAGTGAACGCTTTGTCAACTTGGTGACTCCTGAAAGAATCCACTTTTGGTTTTGTTGATTCCCTCTGTTGTTTTCCTGTTCTCCATTTTATCTGTCTCTGTTCTAGTCTTTATTATTTCCTTCTTGCTGGTTTTGGGTTTAGTTTAATCAAACATCTTAATGACCAAAAAATGCAGGCTGAGGGATAAGAGCTTTGTGAGTGTCCTTTGGGCTGCAGCTAACAGACACTCAGCCTAACTCGGGCATTCTGGAGAGTCTGAGGTCTTGAATCCAGAAGGTCGCTAAGTGTCAGCGTGGCTCATCTTGGCCCTTTTGCTTCATCCTTCTCTTGATTACCTCTGGCCTCCCATCAGGGCCAGTCTGTGTGCTAGAAGCCGACTGCCTACACCTGGGCTTGCTTCTGTATGCAGTGCGTGATCCTACCAGACTACACTGTAATCCCTTAGTCCTAATGCCGAATTCCTGCCAAGTGCCAAAGTCTTAATGCCAGATTCAGGGGCCAAATGTCATCCTGATTGGCTGGCCTTGAATCTGACCAGTTGTGTTTCGGGTGGACAGATCACTGTGCAAATAAGGACTGCTCCCCCTATGACCCTGGGGACAGAGGTGGAGGGGAAGAAGCAGTGGCAAAAAACTGGGGGTTGTATAACATGATGGGTTCTCAACCAGGGTAGTCACATTTCCCAGGCGATAGCTGGCAATATCTGGTGACATTTTTGGTTGTCACAGCATGGGGGGAAGGATGCTACTGGCATCTACCACATAGAGGCCAGGGATGCTGCTAAAAGTCCTCCAGTGTCACAGCACAGCCTGTTCATCAAAGAATTTTCCAGCCCCGAATGACAGAAGTGCCATGATTAGAGCACTCTGCAAGGGTGCCCCAGAGAGAGTAGCCTGGTGAAGCTTGGGCAAAGCCCCCTGCCTTCCTGAATTTTAGGAATGTGCCTTTGTGCTGATTAAGTAACTGTGTTGAGGCCTGAAAACACATGTAATACAGATGGGGGGGGGGGTGTGGGAGGGAGCCGGTGGTGTCTTCCCTCTTATAGACTAGCAACTTCCTGCTGCCTTTCTCCCCAGATTCACAGACTTCAAAGCCAGGGCAGCCTGGGGCTCAGACTCCTCTTGGCAGCCACTCTCATTTCAAAAGTCTTTTTCTTACCCCACGTACCATCTTTCCGCTTCTCTCATTTTTCCTACTGTCCTGAAAACTTAACCATTACGTACTGGACACGCGCTGCTCCTTTCTCACCTGCTCTCATCTACGGGGCTTTTCTGTCCCCTGTGCATCTAGGTGGTAAGCTTTCCAAGGGATTGGGCCAGTTGAGGATTTATTTCTGGTGGCTGTTCCCTCGGCCTTAGTTTGGGGCTCTGCATGCAGGAAGTGCCAGCCATTAGATAGGTTTGCACCTCTCTACCCGATTTGGTCTGGTCCGTGCCTCTCAGATGCTAATCGTGGTGCTGGGCTGGTTTCTTTCTTTTTTTTTTTTTTAATTTTCTTTAATGTTTTATTTATTTCTGAGAGAGAGAGACAGCTGAGCAGGGTAGGGTCAAAGAGAGAGGGAGACACAGAATCTGAAGTAGGCTCCAGGCTCTGAGCTGGCAGTCAGCACAGAGCCCGACACGGGGCTCGAACACATGAACTGTGAGATCATGACCTGAGCCGAAGTTGGACGCTTAACTGACTGAGCCACCCAGGCACCCCTGGGCTGGTTCATTTCTTAAAAATACAGATTCCAGGGACTCCTCAGAGCTCCAGATTGAGTAAGTTGGAAGTGGGTGCCGGGAATGTGGTGGTTTTTTTACAAGCAACTCAGGTGATTCTGAGGTTTAGAGGTTACTTACCCAGAGTGGATTATTGTGACCCTCGAAGCTAGTTAAGTGTTTCTGGAAATAAGCCAAGAGCAAGGGCTCTTGGTTACCAGAAAAACTCAATTAGGCCTGAATCTTCTCTTTCTGCCAGGGTTCACAGGGGTCCCTGACAGTCATTGATTAAGCTTGGATTTTTTTGTTTGTTTTTAAAGTTATTATGCTGGCTGGGCTGATAAGTACCACGGGAAGACCATTCCCATCGATGGGGACTTCTTCAGCTATACCCGTCATGAACCTGTCGGGGTGTGTGGGCAGATCATTCCGGTGAGTGCTAGCTTCCTAATAAACAAATGAAGGTTTAAGAGGAGTGCCTTGAGATGCAGTGGTGGGGGGTCAGCGGGGTGACATCAGAGGGCAGCCTGCGTGGTGGCTGAGAACACAGGCTATAAAACAGCCAACCAGTGTTGTCATCATGGCAAATCCCCCAGAGACTCGGTTTCTTTGTCTGAAAAGTGGAAAGGAACACAGCACTGTCTTGGGGTGTCACTGGGGACATGATGCAACGACTTAGCATGGGGCCTAGTATGGAAGAAGCTCTAATGAGCATGAGTTGCTGCTGTTCTCGTCCATCTGCTTTGTCCACCTGTCTTGAAGTCACAGTTGAGTCGTGGGGGTGGCACCATGGGCTCAGGGACACTGTTGCCGCTTCTACAACCGGGGCTGCTGCTCTCACTGGCCACTCAGCTGAGGTTCCAGGAGTGGCTGTTGTTTCTTGCAGTGGAACTTCCCGCTCCTGATGCAAGCCTGGAAACTGGGCCCAGCCCTGGCGACTGGAAACGTGGTTGTGATGAAGGTGGCTGAGCAGACCCCACTCACCGCCCTCTACGTGGCCAACCTCATTAAGGAGGTGTGTGGTTTGTGTCTGTCGTGACTTCTGAATGCCCTTGTACAGGCTTGTTCCTGGTCGGGGGGGTGGGGAGGAGGTTCTTAGGAGGACGGGTATTTGTAGAGCAGGGACCGAGCCCTCCCCAGTTCCCCACACCTCCTCACAGATTAGCCAAAATGGCCCCTCTCACCTTTTATCTACAATACAGCTTCACTGCCAGACTCCTTTGAAGAATGAACATTTTTCTAGGTGAATGCCACTAAGAAGAGGCAACAGCCACAGGGAACCTCCAAAAGCAGGTTCTCTGTTGTGCCATTTGGAATTCCTGAGTAGCACCCCACAAGACTGGCTCATCCGGGCACCAGGCAGGCTGCTTCAGTCTCTCTGGGAGGGGTGTGTGTCTTTCTGTCCAAACCCTTGGAAGCAGGAGAATGACTCCAAGTTTCTCTGGCTGTTTGCACACAGGCTGGCTTTCCCCCTGGTGTGGTCAATATTATCCCTGGATTTGGTCCCACAGCTGGAGCTGCCATCGCCTCCCATCAGGATGTGGACAAAGTAGCCTTCACGGGCTCCACTGAGGTAAGGCATCACCAGGATCTCAAGCATGAGGCACATTTGGCCCACGTTCTTACTGTCCTCAAAGGATGCTGCATTGAAGATTAGCCTGTGGGTGCTGCATGGGGGGTCCTGGACCCAAGACTGCCTCTGAGTAGCTTGAGTGAGGGCAGTGACGGTCCGAGTGGAGCCCTCTGTGGGTTGGTTGATGCTCTGGATGCTGTTTCGGGCCAGCATCCTGCGTGCAATAAAGAGGCTGAGACCATCTAGACTTTGTGAAGCCCAGAGCTGACCGCCTGCCCAGGGTCAGAGCCCCTCAGCTATGTCAGGCTCCTTGACCAGCACTGCCCTGGCAGTTACAGAACGTGGGCTTCAAAAAGACAGGAGTTCCAATACCAGTCTCACCATTGTGACATGGGGTGATTCACTGAATGTCTTCAGGGCTCCGTTTGTTGTCATTAAAATGAGGATGGCAACATCTAGGTGGTAGAAACCGTACGTATGATGTAGTGGGGAAGGTAAGTGCTTCGGAGTCTTACTTTTCAGTAGTACTTGGCATCTGTGTGATCGTGGGCAAGTCACTTGGCCTCCCAAGGCCTCTGTCTCATCTGTACAATGGAGACAAGAACGGCACCCACCTCCCAGGATGGGAGCCAGTGAGATCAAGTTTATCAATGTTCGGCGAAGGTCTGGCTCAGAGCAAGTGCCCAGTAAGTGAATGAATGAATGAGCCAGGGGATCATGCTGTTCTGTGCCAGGCCCTGGAGAAGCAAGATGTCAGGGGATTCCTCACACATCATCTCCGTTGAAGCAGGGACAGAATTCCTTCTAAAGAGGAACTTTTCCTCTCCTTGAATTCTTGGGAGGCGTCGCGCATGACTTCGGAGAAGGCACACTGAATAATGTAATGAACATGCTCTTCAGACAGTTCCCCCTGAGGAAGAGACACCTTCAAACATCCAGTCTGTACGCAGTGATAGTGGTGCCGGGAGGGCAGAAATGAGACCAACATCACACGCTCCGAGTTCTTTGTGTTGTTAGTGCCTCTGCATTAATGCCTCAAGGTGACGGTGAGAGTCTTGAAAGGGGATGGTTTCCTGACAGAGATACATGTGTTCGTTCCAATAGTCAGGGCGGCTTTCTGCCAGGCTCTGGGAGTAAGGAGGTGAGAAGTAGCCCATCCTTGCCCTCACAGAGCGTGCCATGGGCTGGGGGACCACCCTCACAACACTGTGGGAAGGAGACAGGATAGTGGTTCGAACTGGTGATGGGTTCACGCTGCCCGAGTGTGAATTCTAATGCTACATTTTTCCAGCTGTGTGACTTTGGGCAAGTGACTTGACCACTCTGAGTCGTAGCACCCACATTTCTAAATCAAGGAAGAGTCCTGTCTGTCTTTGAGGTCACTGCAAGGACTGAACTTATGAGCACAAAGCACTTGGTACAGTGTCTGGTTTGTAGGCAGTACTCACCATGTAGAAGCCACACAGTAGTGACTCTGCTCATGTGGTCATGGTCACTGTTATCCTAGGAGCTCAGAGGGGTGGGGCTGCAGTGGTCAGTGAAGAGATTTGGTAAAATTCTCCTGGTCTCTTGTAATCTAGCTGCTCCCTCAAGTTGTGGGGTCCTCGGGCCTGTGTCCAAGAAAGCATGTGGTTCCTTTTTCCTGCTGTTGGGAGCTTGTGTGGGTCTCTGCTTCCCCACAGGTCGGCCACCTAATCCAGATTGCTGCAGGGAGCAGTAACCTCAAGAGAGTGACCCTGGAGCTGGGGGGAAAGAGCCCCAATATCATCATGTCAGATGCAGACAGTAAGTCTTCTGGGGGGAGGAGGTGCAGGGGGAAGGCAGCCACTGCACTTCTATGAGTGTCAGCACCCACTGGACTCGGTTTCTGGGCCCCCGGGCCTCAGGATGAAGGTCAAAGTCAGCAGCGTGGCCCTCCAGCCTGCATGACCCGGTCTCTCCCTGGCTTCTCTCCTCTTTGCTCCATCATCCAGCCGAGCTGGGCTACTTTGTTGCCCAATGATAGTGCACACTTTCTCCTGGACAGATTGCTCTTTCTCCAACTCCTCCCTTTTCCTGGTCCTATCTGGGCACCCCATGATTTGCCTTCCCCGAGGGAGCCTTCCCTGACTGCCGTAGGCCGGCTGGGTCGGTCCTCACACCGCCCTCATCTGTTACCACGGAGGGCTGCGACTGCTCCTCTCTCCGTGTCTGTGTGCTGGGTGTCCACACCCCAGGAAGGGAGAGCTCAGGTCTGTCTCGTTGGGCACAGGGTCTTGTTGGTGGCGTGAACCGGTTAAGGGGGTAGGCACCCACTGGGGCGAGGCTTGTCCTCTGTCTCTTCTCATGGTTGCCTTTCTGCCTCCCCAGTGAACTGGGCCGTGGAGCAGGCCCACTTCGCCCTGTTCTTCAACCAGGGCCAGTGCTGCTGTGCGGGCTCCCGGACCTTTGTGCAAGAAGATGTTTATGCTGAGTTTGTGGAGCGGAGCGTCGCCCGGGCCAAGTCTCGTGTAGTTGGGAACCCCTTTGACAGCCAGACCGAGCAGGGGCCACAGGTGAGCCCAGCTGCTCCAGGTGGGTCTGGGTGTCCAGAGCTAGCCTGGAGAAGCAGAAAAGGTCTCAGACTCAGAGGCAGGCAGCATTGGCTTCAAGTCTCAGCTCTGCCATGTACCAGCTGTGTGTCCTTGGGAAGCTGCATGCCCTCTCTGAGCCACTGTTTGCTCATCCATAATGACCACCTTTCCTGACTCACAGCCAGGCTTTGAAGTGGAAATCAATAGCCCCGCGTCGGGCTCTATGCTGACTGCCAGCTCAGAGCCTGGAGCCTGTTTCAGAGTCTGTGACTCCCTCTCTCTCTGACCCTCCCCTGCTCACGCTGTCTCTCTCTCTTTCCTAGAAATAAATAAAACATTAAAAAAAAATTTGAAGTGGAAATCAATAATGGAAAGCAATATTTAAATTACTTACACATAATAAATACTAGAAGTGTCCATGTAAAAAGGAATGCATGCTGGGGTGCCTGGGTGGCTCAGTCAATGAAGCATCTGACTCTTGATTTCGGCTCAGGTCATGATCTCACAGGTTCATGAGATTAAGCCCCGCATCAGGCTCAGTGCTGACAGCGTGGAGCCTGTTTGGGATTCTCTTTCTCCCTGTCTCTCTGCCCCTTCCTTGCTCTCATTTTCTCTCTCGCTTAAAAAAAAAAGAGTACCTTGGCCATCCATAAAAATGCATCTACCAGAAGGACACACAGGTATCTGTTAACCGTGGTTATCTCTGGGGAATGGGACAGAGGGCCATGGCATGGGTAGCAGAGGGACTTTATTTCATTTTATATATATATTTGATTATATATATATTTTATATTTGATTATATATATATTTGATTATATATATATTTTAACCAGGAACATGTATTCATTTTAATCAATAAACTATAGTCAGTAATAATTACAACAAATAAATTAGAGTGCCTCTGCCCACCATTTCCTCTCATGCCCTGGGCCTTTTTCCAGCACTGTCATTAGACCCAGCCTGTCCTGGGCTCTCTCCCCACAGGGTCCCTCACTGGCCTCCTCCAGAAGCGAGGAGTCTACAGGGTCAGGGGTGCTCCCGGCTCCCACAGGTCCCTGCACCCACTTTCGGGGCCCACGGGAGCCTCTGCAGGCTCCATCCTCCTGAAGATGTGTGCTGCTGGTGTCCACTCCCTAGGCTCCAGGGCTGGCCAAGGCAGCCCCTTTCTTCCCCTTTTTATGAATAGATTTAATTTTTTAGAGCCATTTAGGTTTATGAAACATGAGTAGAAAGTACAGCATTCTCATATAACTCTTCACTCCCCCGGCCCACCCCTCTGGTTTCCCTGATTCCTGACATCTCGCACTAGTGTGGTACATTTGTTGTCACTAATGAGCCAATGTGATATATTACTGTTAACTAAAGAACATAGTTTTCCTTTGGGTTCACTCTTGGTGTTGCATTCTCTGGGTGTGGACAGATGTAGAAAGACTGTATCCACAGACCCAGTATCATACGGAATAGTTTTCAGTGCCCTAAAATTCCTGTGCTCCACCTCTCCATCCCTTCTCTACCCTCAACCCTAGGCAGCCACTCATTTTTTTTTTTTTTTTTTTTTACAAATAGTTTATTGTCAAATTAGTTTCCACATAACACTCAGTGCCCATCCCCCCTCCCCCCCCCATTCCATCAGTCCTCAGTTTTTGTCAGCATTCAAGAGTCTCTCATGGTTTGCCTCTCTCCCTTTCCCCCACCATTTCCGCCCTTCTTCTCCCCCTTGTTCCTCCGTCAAGTTCCTCCTAATCCTCCTATACGTGCAAACATATGATATTTGTCCTTCTCTGCCTGACTTATTTCGCTCAGCATAACACCCTCAAGGTCCATCCATGTTGCTACACATGGCCAGATGTCATTGTTTCTCATTGCCATGTAGTATTCCATGGTATAGATAAACCACATCTTCTTGATCCATTCATCTGTTGATGGACACTTAGGCTCTTTCCATGTTTTAGCTATTGTGGAGAGTGCTGCTATGAACATTGGGGTACATGTGCTCCTATGCATCAGCATTTCTGTATCCCTTGGGTAAATTTCTAGCAAGCCACTCATCTTTTTACTGTCTCTGTTTTGTGTTTTCCAGAATGTCCTACAGCTGGAATCATAGAGTATACGACCTTTATAGATTGGCTTCTTTTACTTAAACAGTGTGCATTTAAGTTTCCTCCATGTCTTTTTGTTACTTGATAGCTTATTCCTTTATGGCTGACTAATATACCATTATATGGACATATCACTTTTCCTTTATTCATCTGCTGATGGATACTTGGGTTGTTTCCACTTTTCGGCTATTGTGAATAGTGCTGCTGTGAATCCCAACATCTCTTTTTCTCTCTCGTTTTTCTTTGTAGTTTGTGGCTATCTAATTAGTAGGGTAATACAAACTTGTATAGAAGTTTTAATAAAAAGTATTTAAAGGAAAAAATAAGACCCCTTTGGCCCCTTCCATGTCCTTTCCCCATAGATAATCCCCGTTACATTTTTATATGTTTGTTTTAACAAAAATAGGACTGTATAAAAAATACTCTATAAGCTTCCCCCTACTCACTAGCCTTCTGTGTCAGTTCACAGATCTATTTAAACAATTTTTTAAATGTTTCTTTATTTTTGGAGAGAGAGAAAGAGAGAGAGTGGGGAAGGGGCAGAGAGGGAGAGAGACACAGAATCTGAAGCAGGCTCCAGGTTCTGAGCTGTCAGCACAGAGCCCAATGCGGGGCTCGAACCCATGAACTGTGAGATCATGACCTGAGCTGAAGGCCGACACTTAACTGACTTAGCCACCCAGGCGCCCCACACAGATCTATTTTTTTTAAGTAGGCCCCACACTGTGAGATCCAGAGCCTTGTGCTCTAACCCCGGAGTCAGCCAGGTGCCTCACACAGATCTATTAACAAGAACACAATATATATTATATACACATACAGGAATTGTTTTAGCCAGCCCCTCTACTGATGAAGACTTAGAATTGTTTCTGGATTTTTTCACTTTTACAAAGTGCTCCCTAGTGAATATCCTTGTGTAGGTCCCATGTGACATGTAGAATAAATTCTTAGAAGTTAAAGAGCTGGGTCAGAGGGTATGAGCATTTAATTTTTTGACTAGTATTAATAAACCACCTGCCAAAAGAACTGTACCAGGTTACAGCCCTTTTTAAATTGAGATATTACTGACCTGGGACATTGTATTATCCTTCTAACAGCATATCCATATTAGAATGTGTGTAACATACCCTTGCCATCAATGTATTTTCTTACTTTTTAAAAAATTTTATTTAAAACATTTTTAATGTTTATTTCTGAGAGACAGAGTGTGAGTGGAGGAGGGGCAGAGAGAGAGGGAGACACAGAATCCGAAGCAGGCTCCAGGCTCTGAGCTGTCAGCACAGGACCCAAGGTGGGGCTCAAATACACGAACCCGTTGAGATAATGACCCGAGCTGAAGTCGGACGCTTACCTGACTGAGCCACCCAGGTGCCCCTTACCTTTTTTAAAAATACGGAATGCTTCACGAATTTGAACGTCATCCTCATGCAGGACGTTGCTAGTCCTCTGTGTTGTTTCGGTTTTAGTCTATGTGCTTCTGAAGCAAGCCACGAGTATTTTCTTACTATTTTAAATTCTTAGAATTTAAGTTTTATTTAAATTTAAATTTTCTAACCTCATAGTTGGAAAATAAAAGATGGGTTGGTTTGATACGCTTTTCTTTGAGGGCTATGAGGCTGGTTGAACCATTTCTTATGTTTATTGGCCCTCTGTAGTTCCTCTCTGAGCCCTCTTATTCTGAAGCTTGGCCCTTTGCTCAGTTGTCTCCCTGCCTGTGTGCTTGAAGCCTAAAGCTAGGAGAGGTCTGGCTCTGGCATCTCTGAAACTTCGGGCTTCTTTGCTCACAGGTGGACGAAACTCAGTTTAAGAAGATCCTTGGTTATATCAAGTCTGGGAAGGAGGAGGGAGCGAAGCTGCTGTGTGGTGGAGGGGTGGCTGCTGACCGCGGCTACTTCATCCAGCCCACCGTGTTCGGAGATGTGCAAGACGGCATGACCATCGCCAAGGAGGAGGTTAGCATGGGGCCAGCACTCCGGGGAGTGTTCTTAGGAGAAATCGATGTTTATGTCTGCCATCTTCATACCACAACCCTTCAACTGGCTTTGGGCCAAATCCTGGCTCTATGCCTAAGACAAATTGCTTACAGTTCCATGTGATCTATTCACTCTCCTCGTCCACCTCCACGCACTGCTGGGGAGAACTTCCAAATTCCTTTGCATAGCCTCCAGGCCCTTAGTGTTCTGGTCCCTGTGAGCCAGGAGTCAAGGATTGATTTTGTTCAGCCCTTTCATGATCTTCATATAAGCAGGACAGTGGACTCGACCAAAGGGCTGTGACTTACCCACATGGCTAAATTCCCAATGTTCTCCCCCTGGGCACTCATTTTTGAGCACAGGGCAGCAGCTCTGTCTCATTCATTCATCTGCTTCACAGATATTTATTGAACACCTACTATGTGCCAGGCTGTTTATAGACCCTGGAAATCCAGCCGTATCCAAGACACGTTCCCTGCCCTCATGAGGTTCATACATGCTCCGCTTCCCTCAGCTCAGTTAAGCCCCTTAGCAGCCTTATGCAGGGAAAATATTTCCCCTTTCATACAGAATTCAAAATAAAGTGATATTAAAATGCAAAATCAGGGTAAGAAAGGCCAGCAGAGTTCTCCCTCTTTTCCCATCATGACTACTTTGGTGCTTTTTTTGAAATCTCAAACATCAATTTTCCAGAAGGGTTGGGGGGGGTGTCTCTGCTTTGCCAGTGCCTGAAGCCCGTGATACCTAGTCTCACCCCATGTTGAGCTCCTGGCACTCCTCTCCCGCCTTTGAAACTAAATCTACATGTCACATGCCAGGAACCCCTACCTTGCAGCATTGTTTAGAAATAAGATAAGCTGTGTTAAGCACTTGGCGTATAGAAGGTAACCAATCCCCATTAGCTTCCTTACTTTCGTGTTTCCCTGAGCTTGGGAGCTGTGGTCTCCCTTTGGAACTGTTAGGGTATCTCTGGGGGCTTGATCAATCGTCTGCTCAGTACTGAAAAGCTGTGTAGCTGGTTTCTATGCATGCCCCACCTTCCCATTGTACACTCTTTCACCACAGATCTTTGGGCCAGTGATGCAGATCCTGAAGTTCAAGACCATAGAGGAAGTGATTGGGAGAGCCAACAATTCCAAGTATGGGCTGGCTGCAGCTGTCTTCACCAAGGACTTGGACAAGGCCAATTATCTGTCCCAAGCCCTCCAGGCTGGCACTGTGTGGTAAGAGCCTCCCAGCAGCCCCTCACAGCCCAGGCAGGGATCCCCAAGCCAGGGTTTTCTGGAATTTAGTGCTCACATCCCAGAATTTGGGATGCTGGGCTCAGTTCCTCCTGGGTCAGGGTGGCTGGTATAGTGGACAGAGATTTCCCATCCCCTCTCCTCTAGGAGATCAAACTTCCCTCCAGTACACAGGCCCATGCAGTTTTGTTCTTGGGCCAGCAGATGGATGACTGTGGGCTACTTGCTCAGCTGAACAAGAGCAGGAGATCAGAGCTGAGTGTCTGCACCCATGTAATAGTGGTCTTAAAAGCTTAGCACCTACTTCACACCCACTAGAATGGATGTTATTTAAAAAAAACAAACAAACAGAAAATACCAAGTGTTGGTGAGGATGTGGAGAAACTCGAACCTTCACATCTTGCTGGTGGGAATGTAAAATGTTGTAGCCATTAGGGAAGACAGTCTGGCAGCTCCTCAGCAAGCTGAAGGTAGAATTACCATAAGAGCCAGCCTAGGGCCCAGCAGTTCTACTCCTAGGCATACACCCAAGACAAATAAAAGCATACATCTACACAAGAAAGTGTATCTGAATGTTCATACGAGATTATTGACAATATTCAAAAGGTGGAAGCAACCTAAATGTCCATCAGCTGATGAATGGATATATAAAATATATAAAATGTCTAGCCACACGGTGGAATATCATTCAGTCATAAAAAGGAGTAAGTGCTGATACGTTCTATAAACGTAGATGAACCCTGAGCATGTGATACTAAGTGAAAGAAGCCAGACACAAAAGGCCACATACTGTGGGAATCCATTTATGTGAAATGTCCAGAACAGACACCTCCATAGAGACAGAAAGTAGATTACAGCTTCCAGGGACTGGAAGAGGGCGAGATGGGGAAATAACTGCTTATTGGGTAAAGGGTTCTCTTTAGGGTGACAGAAATGTGCTGGAATTAGAGGTGATGGTTACACAACACTGTGAATCTGCTATCGCCCATTGAATTGTACACCTTAAAGTGGTGATTTTAAATTCAATTAAAATTTAACTTTTAAAAGCTGCAAAAAAAAAACCTGAGTATCTAATTAGCAAAAATGACTCATTAAAATGGGAAGCTATCATGTGGAGCTCCCTGTTACCACATTCATCTGTGACCACGTCACAGAGGACGATGACGTACGACTTGACTTCATGTGCTTTGCTTTTGGCTCCTACGCGGCTGGTTATTACTGTGGTTCCACCTATCCATGTTTCCTTGATAATATTTTAGGGCAATTCAAGAGGTCTGAGGGGCAGGACACATATCTCCCAAGAGTTACTTCTGAAATCCTGTTTCAAATTATAGGGTCAACTGCTATGATGTGTTTGGGGCCCAGTCCCCGTTCGGTGGCTACAAGATGTCGGGGAGCGGCCGGGAGCTGGGAGAGTACGGGCTGCAGGCGTACACGGAGGTGAAAACGGTGAGTATCGGTGCCCTCCCAGCTCTCCCCTGTGCTGGGCTCCATCTCCACTTATTACTAGTGTCTTGTTTTAAGCCACAGAAGCTACAGAAGAGGGTGAAGACCCAGTCTCTGCTCTGTCTTGTGAGAAATAACTTGGGACTTGGCCACCACTATGCCTACGTAGTCTTTGCTAAGCTTTGTTATATGTCAAGTTCTGTAAGACTTGAGAGGAAGGAGGGACGCCTGGGTGGCTCAGTCGGTTAAGTGTCCGACTTTGGCTCAGGTCATGATCTTAGGGTTCATGGGTTTGAGCCCCGCGTCAGGCTCTGTGCTGACAGTTAGCTCAGAGCTGGAAGCTTGTTTCAGATTCGTATCTCCCTCTCTATCTGACCCTCCCCTGCTCATGCTGTCTCTCTCTCTCTCAGAAATAAATAAAACATTAAAAAAAAAAATTAAAAAAAAGACTTGAGAGGAAGGGAAGATCCTGTGGGCCAAAGCAGTGGGGAAGAGACTTTGATGAGAATCAGGCTGTGAGGCATTAGATACCAAGGGCCATAAATACTACCAATAATATCCTTTGATTTCATAATGTCAGTGATAGGAATATAGCCTAAAGAGCTAATCAGAAGTACAAAGAAAGTGTTACTCCTTAAATATTCATCACAGCATTAGCTCTCAAAGATGAAAAAGTCAGATGTAACTTAAATGCCCAATAAATTATGGAACACCCAAACCATGGTGTACTAAGTCGCCATTAAGAACATTTTTGTAGGATATCAGACATGGAAAACCGCCAGTCTTTAAAGTGAAAAGGTGGGATACAAAGTAATACATGGAATATAAGCCCAATTTAAAGGCTATATATACATGCATATATTCAGGTACCTGTATTTATAACCATGGAAAAAACAGGAAAGGCACAAAAGCGAAAATAATATTCTCTCCAGTAGACACTAATTACAGTTTAACCAGGAAATAAACTCACAAGTGATATTTAAAGAAAAGAGAAGTGGGCTGAGTAGGGCTTTCCCAGGACTGGGAAAGAGAAGGCTCGGGGCAAGCAAACCAGCCAGGGGGCGCAGAGTGAGAAAGGCAGGCAGTGGTCTTTGTTTAGGACTCAGGGTGAGCCACAATTTGTGTTCTCAAAGCTCACTGGGATAAACACGTTTCCTTGTTTATTTAAAATGGTGCCATATACACAAGAGGTGAGACCCAGATTTGAACCTACTGACTTTGGTCTAGAACTATTCTTTAGAACAGTGATGGGATTATTTAGGTGTGGTGTGGGGGCTGCTAGGACTGAGGCCCGGGGGCTGCAGTGTCTAAGGAGTGACTGGAGGTCGGGCAGAGAGCCCAAGAAGAGGCTTGAGTTGAGGTGGTTCATGCTGGAATCCAAGTGAAGCCGCTGGCTCCGGAGGCCTGGGGTGCTGGGCTGTTGGGAAGAATGGGAAGCAGCTTTTGAAGATGTGGCAGGGACTGATGGCGGGAGGGTTAGGGGCTGCAGCTGACGGAGGCAAAGCTGGTTCAGCCCAGGGCCGGGCCCTGGGCTTCGTGCTCATGATTAAGATTCCTGTATTTTGAGCTTTGGGAACTCAAGTGATGGTCCTAACAAAAATAGGTTCAAAAACTTTTCAGAAGTCGGGTTTGCAAGGGGGGACTGCTGAGAAAATGTCTTCTTTTGAGCTCATTTTTATTTTATTGAGTGCTTGCTTTGTGCTGGAATCTGCTAGGCTTTCTCATGCACATGATCTCATTCAGTGCTCACAACAACCCCACGTCTTAAAGAGACACCATTATCCCATCTGACAGCTGAGGAAGCAGGGCACGCAGAGGTGAAGTACTTGCCCAGGAGGGGATAAAGCTGGGATTTAACCCCAAATCCAGCTGAACCTGGAATCTTTCTACTTGACACATTGAGACACCTGCAAGTTGTGTGATTTTCCCCCCTTATTTTGATTCTTTTGGAGCAGAGCATGGATCTAGATCGCGGTCTCTCACCCCCAGCACTGCCCACACTTCGGGTTGGGTATTGTGCAGTGTAGGATGCCCATTGAGCATTCCTGACTTCCGCCTACTGGATGCCACAGCAGTCCCACCCTCTTCTGCCCTGCGACAGTCAAAAATGACTGGGTGGAGGGGAGGCAGGGAGTGATGTCACACAGAACGTAGCCCCAGCTGTGTTCCTGGGACTGGCCAGTTGGCCATCAAGGTGTCAGAAGTAAAGAAAACCCTTGTGCTCATCCTTGGGCCGCACCCCGCTGAGAGTGCTTACAGACTGTAGGGAAGCGTGAAGCTTTAATGGCTGCTCTGCACCCCTCTTACAGGTCACGATCAAAGTGCCTCAGAAGAACTCCTGAAGAACTGTGCCGGCTTCCCCAGTCATCCAGCAGTGGAGAGGTCACGGACATCAGCAGCAAAACCAAGAAAATGACCTTGCACACTAAAAGTCTCAAAAGAGAAATTCTCCCAGAAAATCTCTTGATCAAGAAAGTCCCAGAATTTGAATTGATAAATGGGGTGGGTGTGAGGCAAAGAGTATATGGAAAGCCCTTTAAACTGCAACTACAAACTGCTAGCTTTCAAATCTGATTTTTTAAAACCAGATTTGAGTGTTTGGTCCTGTCCATCTGATACACTTCTGTAACTTGCCTTTAACGGGGGATCAAAAGCCATTCTTTACACTTGTACTAACAAGTCAGAGCAACAGCTAGCATCTTGCTTTGTATTCTGGCCTCAGATTTATTAAACACAATGCTGTTCTTCTCTTTGTGGTTAACTCTTTGTCCATCTCAGTAACCCAAGGAAATACTACCACATAGGGACATTGTCCCCTCTGTGTGTATGTCATACCATACACGACTACTGCCCTTCCCCCAACTGTGGGTAAATACCCTTTGTGATCTTTTTTTTTTTTAACATTTATTCATTTTTGAGAGACATTCTGGGACAAAGCATGAGTGGGGGAGGGGCAGAGAGAGAGGGAGACACAGAATCTGAAATAGGCTGTAGGCTCCAGGCTCTGAGCTGTCAGCACAGAGCCTGATGTGGGGCTCGAACTCACAGTCTGCAAGATCATGACCTGAGCTGAAGTCAGACACTTAACCGACTGAGCCGCCCAGGTGCCCCAATACCCTTTGTTTCTTATCTCCATCCTGTCAGCCTGTGGCAGGCCCTGTGCTAGGCACCAGGGAAGTCACCTAAACAGGACTCCGAGCCCGTGCCCTCAGAGAGGGGGCGGTAAGCCAGGAAAGAGACATTTGACACTCAAGGTTAGTTCTCTGTATTTTAAGGTAAAAAACTTGGTCAGATTAAATGAGACAGATTCATGCTGACAAATTTCATGAGATTAATTTGGAAACCAGATGTCTATTTATTCATCTTAAGTCTGTGTTTCCCATAACCAGACTCTGTGAATCTCCTGTCCAGAACACTGCCTTGCTTTACTCATGGGACCTGGCAAATTAGTAATTAGTAAATTAGGAATCCGAAGATTGATGTATTAGGAATCTGTTGGTGAACAACTGAGTGGGAGCAAAAATCTGAGTATGTTGTAGTAGTTTGTGAAGTCTGTCATCATGTTTGGGTCACAGATTACTTTAACAATTTGAGAAAAAGCTTGATCATCTCCTAAGGAAGAGACACCTTCTGTGTAGTTTTTGCAGACCCTGTCGGGAATGGGGGAGCACACTGGCTGACCCCTCGCTTATTTCACTCAGGATGAGCCACATCTTAAACTATCCCTATTCGCTAAAGCCTAATATGACCTATTTGAATAGTGCTTTGTAATTTTTGTCATATATGCTTATACCTGTATTATGTATGCTTTTCTTTAAATCGACTTTTATTTAGATAAAAAAATTAAACACCTTTATTGCCATACATTAAAAAACTGATTTCAACTGCTATAATTCAAAGGCATTATTAAAAAGATGAAAGCAAAACAATGTCCCTAAATTGAAAATGAGAAAATACAAGTAAACTTAATCATTTAGATTACACACACACAGATACAAATCTAATCATGCCACAATTGTCCATACCTGAAATAAGCGTGCCACAAGGAGACTAAGATTTTATGGCTGTCGGCAGTAATCTTCCACTTCTTGTTTCAAGATGAAATGGGGTTCACTGTCAATAAAATGATTCTGTATTTTAGCTTTGATGCTAACCAGCAGCAGTGGCCTTGTAACACAGGAACTTATCAGTGAAGGGCAAAGCTCAGAGCCCACCCTCATCTCCCATCCTGCTCTGTGGCCTCCCAGGCTGAGGGCCGCGTGCGTTGCGCTGGGATAGGTGGGTCCAGGGAAGTGCCTGTCCCTGCCCTCACGGCAAGTGTGCTCCATCTACCCGGACGGTGGCGTTAAACACAGGGACGTGGTAGGAAGAGGGTGTTCTCAGAGTGTGAAAGGGGGATGCTCGGCCTAAGCAGAGGAAAAGATCCAGACCCTTCACACTAAACGTCGTCAGTTATAAACATTTATCAGGAGGTTACAGAGTGCTAACTATTGGTGATGCAAACGTGAATAAGACACACTTCTACTTCCAGAGGCTCAGGATCTGGTGAGGAAAGACTCAGAAGAGATGATCAGAATACAGTATATGTGCCGTGCCGGATGCAATGACAGTGATAAGGTAAAGACATCATGGAAGGTCATGGAAGGACAGGGAGGGCCCCTGCTGACTGCAGGCAATGGAGAAAGTTGCCTAGAGGCTGCTCACACTGCTTTATGTATTTTCAGGCTTCTTGGCAAGGATTCAGTTCCTGAAGGGTTGAGCCTGGGTTATTTCCTTATAATTTACTGCCTTATAGAAGTGGGAGTACCACTCCCTTCTCTTTTTTTTTTTTAAATTTTTTTTTTATAGATTATTTATTTTTGAGACAGAGACAGAGCATGAGTAGGGGACAGGCAGAGAGAGAGGGAGACACAGAATCTGAAACAGGCTCCAGGCTCTGAGCTGTCAGCACAGAGCCCGATGCGGGGCTCAAACCCATGAACCGTGAGATCTGACCTGAGCCAAAGTCGGACACTTAACCGACTGAGCTGCCCAGGCGCCCCACCACTCCCTTCTCAATATTTACCCTATGTTATAATAAAGGCACGTGAAAGTCTGATTTTTAAAAGTTGAAAACACGACTCTTGAACAAATATAAAATGAACATAGGTCAGAACTTTACTCATTAATTAGAGAGGGAACAAGTTAAGATGAAGGAGGTTCAAAACTCACTTGAGGAACTGGCTGTTGGTGGGCATTTTAGTAAAGGGATTTGCGAGCAAGGTTGCTAGGTTAGATACAAAACTGGGTCATGTTTTCCAGAGCAAGAAAGAAGTAACCATGAGCGTTTTGTTTTGACCAGCTAGAAATCATCCACGTAAATCTACAGGTCACTTCAGAGTGAGTTCTTTTTTTTTTTTTTTTCCAGCAACTTTTTTTTATTCAGCATTATTACACAGAATTAGAGACTGCTGTGATTTTTATTTCATTTGGGATCCTGATTAGAATAAGAACAGTGAGAATTATGCCTTACAGACATTCGTTATTACTACATCATTGTGATATGGCTTCATACTGATTGTATTAGAGAACAAAATAACATTGGAATTAAGGCAATAGCCTATGTGCAAACCAAGCACAATACCCTGGCACAACCCTTAGTATAAAGCTCTTTTGGTTTGGTGATGGTTGATATTGCTGCATACAGATCAGCCACTGCTTTGAAGGATATGCTGTGAAGAGCTTCATTTATTTGAAAATTCCTCCTACTGGCCCACAATGGCCAGCAGAAGCCTTCGGTAATCCCCACTTGTGTCACTTGCAATCATTGTGCTCAGGATCTTCTGATACATCTGTTTGAACATCTGTTTTATTTCTACAAGATCAATCTCACTTCGAGTGACCACAATCCTGACCAGGGTAGAGTCATCTGTGCCGGCACCTTTCATAGAATAGTAGAGCCTCTCAGCAAAGAAGGCAGAGCGGTTCAGGGCACACTGCAAGATGGTCTTCAAACCACTTTCAACATTTCCGGAAAATTCATGGGCAACACTACTTATCAAGTCACGATTAGCCACCCTGGAATAAGCCTCCATGGTAGCTTTTAGCTGAGGAAAGCTTCTTGTGGCAAGAATCATGTTAAAGCAAGATTCATCTGTCCCCAGTCTCCCCTCACCAGCTTGATAGAGACGTTGAGCATCTTCCTGAGCCAACTGGTGATTAACATTCTGGTTCTCATCACGATTTCCCTGGCACATGGATACAAGTAAACGTTCAAAATGTCCTGATGTATCTGATCTAATGTCCTTTTCAAGGTCTCGTCCAAATTCTGATTGATAACATCTGACAATTTCTCGAATTTCCTGATTTGTTCTTGTGCACAAAATTTCAATCAATACACATTCCTGAGTTCCTGCTCCCTTCATTGCATTCCGTAAACTCCAGGCATCATAATATGTAGGTGGCATGAATAGGGCAAGGATTAGTTCTTCCATATTTCCACTTAGCTCTGATTTGAGATCTTTGATTAAATCCTTGCCATACATGGTCTTAAAAGCTGCTTTAATTTTTTGCCTCTGATCATTGGAATGGTTGGCCACAACACTCACAATCGCCTGCTCATCTGTCCCAAAACCCTTCATCGCTTTCCGAAGAATTTCTGCATCTCTCATGGCCTCAAAGTTGGCAGCTGGTTGGACTGAACCTTGAGTTCCCTGAGTCGTTGCAGCAGGCTGACTTGGGTAAGGACTTTGTCCTCCAGGATACTGAGAAGGCATCTGTCCTCCAGGAAAGCCACCAGGTAGTGGGACCTGTGCTGGGCCACCACCATAAGGCTGTGAGGGTGGCTGTGGATAGCCAGAGAAGCCTGCTCCACCTGGAGGGGCTCCAAATCCTTGGCCTGCAGGAACTCCAGGATAGGATGGAGCTCCCCCTGGTGGTGGGGCACCGGGATAGCCTCCAGGGGCCGGATATCCTGCAGGGGCAGGGTAGCCCCCCGCCCCAGGATAGCCACTACTTGGGGCTGGTGGGTAGGCACCTCCTCCCACTGGAGGAAAGCCAGTAGGATAAGGATACTGACCGGGAGGGGGAAAAGTTGACTCCTGACCTGCAGGAGGATATCCAGGGAAAGGTGGGTAGCCTATTGGGGGGTAGCCTGGGTATGACATTCTGACCGGGGGAAGCAGCGTCCCAGAGTGTGAGTTCTTAATTATTAAAGAGCAAGTTCGAAAAATGCTATCTCCTAGTGCAGAGGTGGCAAGTGTTTTTCTGTAAGACGACAAGATACACCTGCTAGACCTTGAAGGCTATGTGACATATTTCTGTCACATATTTGTTTCTTGTTGTTCACAAGCCTTTAAAAAATGGGGAAAAACAAAAACAAACAAACAAAAAAAAAATTGTTACCTCAAGGGCCAGGGGCTGTATGAAACAGGCGGAGTCTGGATTTGGCCCCTGGCCACAGTTTGCTGACCTTTGTCCTGGAAGACAGAAGATCATGGGGGTGGGGATGTTAAGCAGGGTTTTGGCAGGATGTTGAAAGTGTATATATATATTGATCTTCCTGACCAAATTTGCAAGTTTTGGGTAATTTACAAATATGTAATCATTAAAACAAAGTTTGCCCGTGTACCAACTGAAAGCATCTCTTTAACACCCCTACTGGGCAAAGCTCACTTTGGGAAAAGGATTACTCGCTCCCACCAGCTCCAAGGCCGTCCCTTCGGAAGTTCTGACTGAACAGATTCCTAACCTTTGGCTCACTATTTCTTTTATACCTATGATACAATTTGAGAACTGCCCAAGCCAGGGTGGGTGGGGCTGCGTGAGGAGCCTTGAGACGACAGCCACCCCTAGCATGCTGGGGTGATGTGGGAAACAGAGGCAGAAGCAAATGGCAGATTTAAAATTAAACTTCATTAGAACCTGCAGCCCATCGACAAATACTTGAGGCATGCAGAGCAAAAGGTTTCTCTAGGAACTCCCTCCCGTCTTCCTGCTAATGCTTTGCGAGAGGGAAAAACAACCTTAGCTTGACAATAGCTAGGCCTCCAGTATCCCCTGAGCCTTCTTTAGCATATGGAAATCTCACTGGAAACTTCCTCTGGATTTTACCTCCCCCAGCTCCATAGCATATAACCAGTATCTTCTCATGGTCCCAGGGCAGCACTTCCTGCCCACAGGTCCTGTCCCCGTGGTTTAATAAAATCACCTTTTTGCACCAAAGATGTCTCAAGAATTCTCTCTTGGCTTTCGGCTCTGGACCCCACGAACCCCCATCATCCCAAAATTTCGGCACTGGCCATTTGTTAAGATCTTTTAAAGTTTACTTTTTTCCATTCATTCATCCATTCCTTGTTTCCGGAAGTCATCAGTAGCACATACGATAGGCCAGCTAGTGTGCTAGGCAACTGCTTCTGCAGCAAGCAAGCTGGGCACATTATCAGGCCCCGTGCTTCCAGTCCAGTGATAATGAAACAAGTGAGTGCAATAAAGTGAAGTGTCATGACAGAATGACAGACATCCCCAGATCATGGGATTGTGTCACCCTCCACTGACTAAACACATTTTGAATGTTTGGTTTTATGGGTTAGAAGGAACAACGATGAGGAGTTATGGAGCAAAGCTAATGTTTATTTAGCTACTTTGGTGTACTGAGTTACAAGGTTCTGACTCTTCCACTCCTTGATTTGTTCCTAGCCCACATGTGTATTAGGTAAAAATAGTTAAAACAAGAATAAAAGTTAATTTTTATCTCTGGTAAACAAAAGCCCAGAGGTAGGCAGGAAAGGCTGTTAAAGTGAACCCACAAAGTCTTTAAGGGACCCGGGCTCTTAATGTTCCATCATCTCTATGGTATGATATGGCTCTCATCCTCAAGGTTTAATGTGGCTGCTTTCATTCCAGCCATCATATCAACATTCCAAGTAGCAGGGTGGTAAAAAAGATAAAGAAAGGGGGTACCCTACTCCCTATAAGGAGACTTCCCAGAGGTTACACATAATACTTATATGTATATCTCTTTGGGCAAAATTTAGACACATGGCCACATCTAGCTGCAAAGAAGGATGAGGCATGTCTCAACTGGGTGACTGGTGTGCCTAGCTAAAATGGAAGTTTTTAAATCTAAAGAAGAAAAGGAAAATGGATTTGGGGCAAACAGCAATTCCTACCATGGTGTGAAACACAACCATGTGATTTGACAGACACCAAGACAATGCCTTCTTTTCAATATTCTCGAAGCTAAAGAAAATTCCTCTTAACTCAAGATTTAGAGTGATGCCTTTCCTGTGTCTAACCTTACCACCAACTTACTCCAAATCTCATGATAGAGGATGAGATTACTTCTGGGAAGGTTTTCTATACAATGTACTGTTTAACAATATTTTATTTTATTATTAAAAAAACTTTTTATAGTTTGAGACAGAGAGAGACAGAGTGTGAGCGGGGGAGGGTCAGAGAGAGAGGGAGACACAGAATCTGAAACAGGCTCCAGGCTCTGAGCTGTCAGCACAGAGCCCGATGCAGGGCTCGAACTCATGAACCGCAAGATCATGACCTGAGTTAAAGTTGGACGCTTAACCAACTGAGCCACCCAGGCGCCCCTGTTTAACAATAGTTTAGTTACAAGTGTCAGAAAACCAAATTCCAACCAGTGTGGAAAAAGATGGCTCCCATAGTCCAAAATCCTGGGATCATGGCTTTGCCATGGCTTGATTCACAAGTCTGAAGAGTTTCCATCCCTTGGCTCCACCTCTGCCAAGTAGGCTTTATTTTCAGACCACACCCATTTTAGTTCTGGTGAGTCTGGGTCCTTAGAAGAGCCAAGTGCCCTCAAGAACTCTAGCCAGGCTCAAATCCACTGGTTAGGAGAAAGTCGCCTTTTGCAGGTCCTCTCACCAGGACCCTGAGGTTCATGCTGATTGGTTCCGTGGATGTGACATCCCGCACCTCCCGTGACCAATCACAGTGGCCAGAGGGGTGAAATGTGACTCACTTAGACCTGGGTCATAATGGTCCACCCTTGTAGCCAGGAGTGGAACCGTCTGGTCCACCTGGGCTAAGAATGAGAGAGGAGTAGATCCCCAAAGAAAACTGGGGAAGTATCTCCCAGAGACTGGAAAGTTCTCTTGAGTTATCATCAACCTTTTAGTACTCCAAATAATGTTGCCAAGAACCTTTTAGGAATGAATTGAAGAAAAGAGAGAAATGTAAAATTTCTTGCCCCTGGGGCCCTGTGAATCAAACTCACTGCAATTTTAAGAGAATCCGCTCTTTAAACTGATGAAAAACAAGGACATCCTAGCTATGAAGACATGTCTATAACGTTGATGTTAACAACCTAGACACTTATTAATCTCTTTGTGTTTTTACTGACAGGAACCAATTAGAACCATAAGTAGATGTCTGAGGAAAAAACAAAGTTCTCAGGTTATAAACATCTAATCTCTGGGTATTTGGATATGGATCAGTCACAGGAGTATTAGGTGTAAAGCTGATGTTCCTGCCTCTTTAGTCTTGCCAAGTGCCCAGGAGGAAATGCTCCACTTCTGGGTGAATGAAGTACATAAGGAACTTTTCCAATAGCCTGGAGAACTGGGCTGACGAGCGCCTCCCCACCCCCTTTTTTTTTTTTAAAGTATTTGCGCCACCTTGTGGTCAATAAGTACAACTACAGTGCCATCCTCTCCAAAAGCTGACAGACACACCTACCAGCCAAGGTCCTTCAAAGAAGGTGTTACAACACAATTGTACACGGGCTACATCTGGCAGGCAACACAGTGAGGGAATCAAGAGGCCGGGGTCACATACTTCAAGGAATTGAAAACACGACTCCAACAAAAACTTACACATGAATGTTCACAACGGTACTATTCATAGCAGCCCAAAGGTGGAAATAGTCGAAATGCCCATCAACAGGTAAAAGGATAAACAAATTGTGGTCTATGCATGTAATGAAATATATTCAACCATGAAAACAAACTAAGCACCAACACATGTTGCAACGAGGATGAACCTCAAAAACATGATGCCGACAGAAAGAAGCCAGACACTAAAGGCCACATAGTATAAGATTCCATATACATGACATGCCCACAAGGGACAAGTCCACAGAGACAGAAAGTAGACTGATTGCCGAGGACTGGGGACTTGCTTTTGGGGTGATAAAAAGGGGACCTAGACAGTGGTGATAGCCGTACACCACTGTGAACGTAACACATGTCACAGAATTGTTTAACTTAAAACGGCCCATTTTATGTTATGTGACTTTCACTTCAGTTAAGAAAATAAAGCAGCCTATGGGGCGCCTAGGTGGCTCAGTTGGTTAGACGTCAGACTTCAGCTCAGGTCATGATCTCACAGTTGGTGGGTTTGAGCCCTGAGTCGGACTCTGTGCTAACAGCTAGCTCAGAGCCTGGAGCCTATTTCGGACTCTGTATCTCCCTCTCTCTCTGACCCTCCCCTGCTCACGCTGTCTCTCTCTCTCAGAAATAAATAAAACATTAACAAAAAAAAAAAAAAGAAAAAAGAAAAAATAAAGCAGCCTAAACAAGTGAACAAATAAACAAAGTAGCAGGAGTGTCAGAGCTGTTTGGGGTAACTCAGGCAAGCCTCATACCCTCTGGGCCTCCACTGTCTCATAACCCCTGTGGTCACTTCCAGCCCTCAGGCAGCAATTCTGTGAAGGATAAAAGGGAATTGATATTTATTTATTCACATTGGTTTTATTATCCTTTTTTGAAAAGGAAATACACATGGTAAAAAAAAAATCAGTGAGGGGCTCCTGGGTGGCTCAGTCAGTTAAGTGTATGACCCTTGATTTCAGCTCGGGTCTTGATCTCAGGGTTGTGAGTTCAAGCCCCTCGTTGGGCTCCATGCTGGGTGTGGCGCCTACTTAAAAAACGAATCAATCAGTCAATCAGTGAAACATAAATCTGGCTCCCAATCTTGTGGGCCCAAGAAGAAATATTTAAGGTGTACCTACTAAGTGCCAGGTGATGCTGATGCTGCTGTCTGGGCGGCAGTTACACTTAATAAGAGAGGAGCCAGAACTTCCTTCAGAAAGATTTGTGTTTGTTTGCTTTTTTTTTGAAGTTGTTTCAAACTTACAGAAGCTTCAAGAATAGTAACAACAAGCTCCCGTAAACTTAAAAAAATTTTTGTTTAATGTTTATTTATTTTTGAGAG